GATTAATACAGAAAATGTTATAGATAGGCAACTTATATCTTCATATTGAGTAGTGGTTCCAAATTGATAACTACATCAGTAGGGAACAAACACAAAAAGATACACTCAGCATCTTTCCAAATCACTGTTCTGTTTATTCTGCACATTTGAAGTTTTTCATACACATGATTACATAGGTATCACATTAATATTTCAATTGTAGTTTTATGGTAACAAGGGGTGATACATAGGCAGGCTAATTTCTAATCAGGAATTGAAGAAATTCAAACGTAATCAAAACATTATTAGTGCAGTGTACAATGAGTGCAGTGTACAATACATAGGCAAAACATACAAAATAGAAACAGTGAAGTAGCGAGCGAGTGACCAGATATGATTATTGCACCACATCCCTTAAAATTGCAAATAATCAATAGAGAAGATGGGACTGTCAGGGTGCATAGACATGAATACCACGCATTAAAGTTATATAATTTTTATTTCATATTTTGGTAAAACAAGAAAGGAAAAGATACAAAATACCCTACATGGTTCGCCCTTTTTTTTTTTTCTTTTTATTTAGTATTTTTGATTTTAGTACTTAGGGGGCAACAGAGCAAAAGACTGATTTGTCTGGACCATCTCCACTTTGCTAAGTTTTTTTTTTTTTTTTGTTCATGCTTTTTTTGACAAACTGTTTATAAAACCTTTGGCCATAATTTTTCTTTTCAGCCACAAGATGGCAGTAGAATTGGGGTCTGGTCTAATTAAGCCAGTTTTGCCTAAGTTCCACCTACTTTGTTCCCTCCCTTAATGAGTGATGTTCTGTCAGTCTTTATTGTAGTGATAGATTAATGGTTCACATGTGCAGGAGAGCCTTTGCACATGTGCAGTTGTATCTTAGACGTCCACACCCGGCGTTGATGTCATACGTCGGCCGGCGTGGGAGGATATAAAAGAGGGTGGGAAATTTAAAAATGCTTTCTGCTAATCACCAGTGCACACTGAGTATCTTGGAGGCTGTATTGGATCTGAACGGAGGTATTTAGACTGATTTACTCAATGGAATGGCTTTAAGTAAATGGTGACTTCTGTCACCTGAGGGCCTGCTTTATATTGCATTCTTACAGTAGTGATTGTTTTTTCAGCTAATATCGTCTGGACTTTTGTCCTTTACTGATATCTGGTGGTGGAATTGAAAATTGATCCTCAGTTAAAATCCTTTTCCCTACATTTTCCTTGCTACTTGAATTGCAATATTTAACAGGTTAAATTGGTTTATTTAATTTTAACCCTTTATTAACCATTTGACGCCCGGCCTATGGCCGAATGGCATCCGTAAAAATGTATTAGCTTTCCGGGAGACCGCCATATGGCGTCCTCCCGCACATGCGCAGTTTGCGCGCTTGCAGAGCCGTGCAGCGGCGCGATCTGTCACCGGCCGTGTACCTTGGACACGGCCAATGACAGATCTGAGTACCAGCTCCCGTTGCCGGTACCATGTGACCTGCTGTGACCAATCACAGCAGGTCACATGACAGTTGTATACAATGGATGGCTTCATTTATGCCATCCATTGTATACTAGTGTCTAGCTGTGAATGGTCAAATCACAGCTAAGCACAAAAAAATAAATAAATACTGATCACTTCCCCAAAGTAGTACAATGTTACTATGGTAACAATGTACTAATTTGGACATAGTGTAATATGAAAAAAAAAAAAAACTTAAAAAAAAAATTTAATTAAAAAAAAAAAAAATATATATATATATATATATATATATATATATACAGTCAGGTCCATAAATATTGGGACATCGACACAATTCTAACATTTTTGGCTCTATACACCACCACAATGGATTTGAAATGAAATGAACAAGATGTGCTTTAACTGCAGACTGTCAGCTTTAATTTGAGGGTATTTACATCCAAATCAGGTGAACGGTGTAGGAATTACAACAGTTTTAATATGTGCCTCCCACTTGTTAAGGGACCAAAAGTAATGGGACAGAATAATAATCATAAATCAAACTTTCACTTTGTAATACTTGGTTGCAAATCCTTTGCAGTCAATTACAGCCTGAAGTCTAGGAACGCATAGACTTCACCAGACCCTGGGTTTCATCCCTGGTGATGCTCTGCCAGGCCTCTACTGCAACTGTCTTCAGTTCCTGCTTGTTCTTGGGGCATTTTCCCTTCAGTTTTGTCTTCAGCAAGTGAAATGCATGCTCAATCGGATTCAGGTCAGGTAATTGACTTTGCCATTGCATAACATTCCACTTCTTTCCCTTAAAAAAACTGTTGCTGCTGCAGTATGCTTTGGGTCATTGTCCATCTGCACTGTGAAGCGGCGTCCAATGAGTTGTGAAGCATTTGGCTGAATATGAGCAGATAATAATGTCCCGAAACACTTCAGAATTCATCCTGCTGCTTTTGTCAGCAGTCACATCATCAATAAATACAAGAGAACCAGTTCCATTGGCAGCCATACATGCCCACGCCATGACACTACCACCACCATGCTTCACTGATGAGGTGGTATGCTTAGGATCATGAGCAGTTCCTTTCCTTCTCCATACTCTTCTCTTCCCATCACTCTGGTACAAGTTGATCTTGGTCTCATCTGTCCATAGGATGTTGTTCCAGAACTGTGAAGGCTTTTTTAGATGTCGTTTGGCAAACTCTAATCTGGCCTTCCTGTTTTTGAGGCTCACCAATGGTTTACATCTTGTGGTGAACCCTCTGTATTCACTCTGGTGAAGTCTTCTCTTGATTGTTGACTTTGACACACATACACCTACCTCCTGGAGAGTGTTCTTGATCTGGCCAACTGTTGTGAAGGGAGTTTTCTTCACCAGGGAAAGAATTCTTTGGTCATCCACCACAGTTGTTTTCCATGGTCTTCCGGGTCTTTTGGTGTTGCTGAGCTCACCGGTGCGTTCCTTCTTTTTAAGAATGTTCCAAACAGTTGTTTTGGCCACGCCTAATGTTTTTGCTATCTCTCTGATGGGTTTGTTTTGTTTTTTCAGCCTAATGATGGCTTGCTTCACTGATAGTGACAGCTCTTTGGATCTCATCTTGAGAGTTGACAGCAACAGATTCCAAATGCAATAGCACACTTGAAATTAACTGTGGACCTTTTATCTGCTCATTGTCATTGGGATAATGAGGGAATAACACACACCTGGCCATGGAACAGCTGAGAAGCCAATTGTCCCATTACTTTTGGTCCCTTAACAAGTGGGAGGCACATATGCAAACTGTTGTAATTCCTACACGTTTACCTGATTTGGATGTAAATACCCTCAAATTAAAGCTGACAGTCTGCAGTTAAAGCACATCTTGTTCATTTTTTATTTCAAATCCATTGTGGTGGTGTATAGAGCCAAAAATGTTAGAATTGTGTCCATGTCCCAATATTTATGGACTTGACTATATATATATATATATATATATATATATATATATATATATATATATATATTTTTTTTTTTTTAATTTTATTTTTTTTTCACTGTCACCAGTGTCCCTGATCACCGCCATGCCAGTTATATGATGACGCTGTACTGCACTGGTGACAGTATGTAAAAAAAAAAGTGAAAATAATTTTTTTTATTTTCCGAAAAAATTATGACAAAAAAAATACAACTTCAAAAAAACTCGCCATGCCTCTTATGAAGTACGTTGGACTGTCTACTTTGCAAAAAGTGGTCATTTGGGGGATATCTGTACTATTCTGACATTCTTGGACCTCAAGAAATTAGATTGGCTGTCAGTACTTCAGGATTGATCAATATTCAGATCTATACCATAGTCTGTGAACTCTATAACCTTCCTACAAACTAAAAAATACATCCTAATTTGGGTTATTTTCACCAAAGACATGTAGCAAAATACATCTCGGCCTAAATTTATGAAGAACAATTATTTATTTGCAAACTTTTATAACAGAAACAAAGAATAATGTGGGTTTTTTTTTTCTCAAAATTTTCGGTCTTTTTTGTTAATTTAGCAAAAAATAAAAACCCCAGTGATGATTAAATACCACCAAAAGAAAGCTCTAGTTGTGTGAATAAAATGCAAAAATTTTAGTTTGGGTACAATGTTGTATGACTGCACAATTGTCATTCAAAGTGTGAGAGCGCTGAAACCAGAAAAATGGCCTGGGAAGGAAGGTGTAAAATTGCCCGGTATTGAATTGGTTAACTTCTAACCTTTTCCTTATATTCCGTTTTGGAATTATATTAATTTCGTTATACCTAGATGGATATATGATGCCCATTATATATTTTTCAACTAATCCCATTATGATTAGATGGATATATGATGCCCATTATATTCTTCAACCCTATTTGGACATTCTAGGCCAATTAGACCTCTAGACAGAACATATTTCCATATTTCTCTGCAATTTCCATAGGTAAAATCAATTAAGTTAATTTTTATTACCGTATTTGCCGGCGTATAAGACGACTTTTCAACCCGTGAAAATCTTTTGAAAAAGTGGGGGTCGTCTTATACGCCGTATACGGCGAGCCGGTGTCAGGGCGGCACTTTTTTGAGGGGCGGCGCCGCCCCCCCCCTCCTCCAATGGACACCAAGTACAAGGGTGGGCAGAGGGGCTGCTGTACCTTACCTGGCTCCGGTCCCGGTCCCACGACGATCCGGTCCAGGAAGCGCGGCTGCTCCTTCTTTCAGTTCAGCCGCTCGATGGTCGCGCGGCAGCTCGGCTTCGCCTCCTCACCGGTGATTGGGCGCCAGCACTGGAAAGGCACACAGGCGACCAATCACCGGCCAGGAGGCGGAGCCGAACGGCCCCGCGAAAATCAAGCGGCTGAACTGAAAGAAGGAGCAGCCGCTCCTCTCCCCCACTGACACTAACGATGGGGCACTATTCCTCCTCGACACTGACACCAACGATGGGGCACTATTCCTCCCCCACTGGCACCAACGATGAGGCACTGTTCCTCCTCCCCACTGACACCAATGATGGGGCACTTTTCTCCCCACTGATACCAATGATGGGGCACTATTCCTCCTCCCCACTGACACCAACGATGGGGCACTATTCCTCCTCCCCACTGACACCAACGATGGGGCACTATTCCTCCTCCCCACTGACACCAACGATGGGGCACTATTCCTCCTCCCCACTGACACCAACGATGGGGCACTATTCCTCCTCCCCACTGACACCAACGATGGGGCACTATTCCTCCTCCCCACTGACACCAACGATGGGGCACTATTCCTCCTCCCCACTGACACCAACGATGGGGCACTATTCCTCCTCCCCACTGACACCAACGATGGGGCACTATTCCTCCTCCCCACTGATACCAACGATGGTGCACTATTCCTACCACTGACATCAATGATGGGGCACTATTCCTCCTCCCCACTGATACCGATGATGGGGCACTATTCCTCCTCCCCACTGACACCAATGATGGTGCACTATTCCTCCCACTGACATCAATGATGGGACACTATTCCTCCCACTGACACCGATGATGGGGCACTATTCCTCCCACTGACACCAATGATGGGGCACTATCCCTCCCACTGACACCAATGATGGTGCACTATTCCTCCCACTGATACCAATGATGGGGCGCTATTCCACCCACTGATACCAATGATGGGACACCTCACACACTGACACTAATGATGGGGCACCATCATTGGTATCAGTGGGAGGAATAGCACCCCATCATTGGAATACCATACTGAAATACCATACCATATTGAAATCAAATCTGATGTTTTTTCATTTTTATTTGGTGTGCATAGGAAGAGGGGTAGTCTTATACGGCGAGTATAGCTCAAACCCTATATTTTAACAGGAAAAGTAGGGGGTCGTCTTATACGCCCAGTCGTCTTATACGCCGGCAAATACGGTAATTAACATCTCTTGATTCCTTTTTGAAATTTAAATTAATTTCTGATTTTTGTCTATCCTATTTTGTCTAGATGGATGTTTGATGTCCATTGTTTCCTTTCTTATGGTTGTGAATGTATAGGTCAAATAGATGTTTGTTAGGTTATACCTATACATCCTAAAGCATTTAACAGGTAAAATTGCTTAAAGTTTATCTCAACCTATTGAATTATGATCTCTTCATAGTTTCCGTTAAATTGAATTAATCTTTTTTTGTTTATCCCGTTGTGCCTAGATGATATCTGATGCCCATTATATCCTCTACAACTGTTTTGGACGTGTAGGCCAATTAAGATTTTTTAGGTCATTTTCTTCTAGCTATGAGCTTTCACATCCAGGGTGAGCCATTGAGTCCCATATATATATGTATATATATTTGATTAAATACCCTGTATTGGATATATTAAAGTTGTTTGGTAATTGAACTTTTTTTTTTTTTTTTATATATATATACTTTTAGACTGCCTTGGCGGTAGAAATTTACTCAAAAATCTCCCCTGAAGAAGCCCGTGAGGGCGAAACATGTAGGGAGTATACTACAGTTACCTAACCAAATACGAAATAGCATACAATTTTATACAGAATGTACAAATTTCCTTTACAGCAAGATAAAATCTTGCCTTGTATCTTTCTATTTGCTGACACTCAAGTGCTTGTGTACTATCCTGACAATACACAATTTTTTACTAAACACACATACCTGTCTATATTTTCATTTATTGTAAATAATTGAAAAAACAGGGAAGGGAGAATGTTCATGGAATGGGAGGTTTTTGGTTTTGAAGTGTATTAACCTGTTTTGTCACTAGCAAATCTGTACACAATTCAGAGCTTTAGCTTTTTTTTTTAAAGAGAAAACTATATGTACCTTTTTAAATTCTGTTGTGGTTGTTACTTCCACAGCTCAAATCAGGCCTATTACTGCTCAATCAGGTGTCATAGCCAAACTACCTAAAAAAAAAACCCTTTATTTTCTCCAAGTTGAATCAGATTAGGATGTGTCTGCTGTAATTGAGCCAAGCTAAATGTAAAAGTTAAAAAGTAATCTGCACATCCAAAATGTGATGTCAGAATATTATTATACAGGATTTATATAGTGGCAACAGTTGTACAGCACCCTGCAAAGTAAAAGGGAGACGGTACTGTTTCAATACAAGAAGGCTTGCAGGACTCTGCTCATGAGAGTTTACAATCTAACAGAGAGAGGCCAGTGATATATAAAGGTAGTAACTATAGTGGGATGAGTTGATGGAGAATTAAAACTATAATTTTTAGGTGGAGGAGGGATAGGCTTCCCTGAAGAGATGAGTTTCAAAGATCACCTAAAAGGTAGACACAGTAGGAGATAGCTAGAGAGATGGAGTAGGGAGTTCTCGAGAATGGGAGAGGCTTTAGATAAGTCCTGGACATGAACATGGGAGGAGGTGGTGAGGGAGCTAAACAGTGGGTCTTTGGGATGGTTTCAGTGATAATTTGAGACAGGATTTTGTAGTGTAGCTCAGGGCTGAGTTGTGGAGGGCTTTGTAGGTTATTGATAATATTTTGAATTTTATTTGTTGGGAGCAGAAACCAGTGGAGGGATTGGCAGAGAGGGGCAGCAGACACTGAAGGAGGATAGCCTCTGCGAAGGCAGGCCAATGAGGAGGGAGTTGCAGTAGTCAACGTGAGAGATAATAAGACAGTGAATATTTATCTTGGTGATGTCATTGGTTAGGAGCGTATGTTGGAAATGTTAAGGAGGTAATGGTGCCAAGATCTGGCCAGTGATATGATACAGTGATATTTCAGATATGACTTGAATATGAATATGATATAAATATGATATAAATTAGTAATACGCAAACAGAGCCTTAGGGGACTCCTAAGCAAAAAAGAGGAGAGAGTTGAAAATGACACTAAAAGAGTGCTTAGATGGGTTGGAGGAAAACCAGGAAGTAAAACAAAAGTACTTCTTTTTATTGTGCCATTATCCATATACAGAAAGAGAAGGGATAATGTAAATTAAACAGTTTGTGTTTAGTATCAGTTTAAGGGACTGATGTTTTTTTCCATGTAGCCCTTGAAATCACATTTAAAAGAACCCTCTTCCTATTGTTTTGTATTTTTTAACATTTTTTTTTATGCTTTTTTACTTTATTATTTATGATATGTCCGACATGATAGAGCTTTCCATATCCTTTTGACAATAGTTGACCTACTAGCTTTGAAAATTTCCAGAATTTAGTAGCAATGTTTCCCCCCTTAGACTTAAAGGGGTTCACAGCTCTCAAGCTCTCAAACAGGATTCGAAGGCCCCTCTGAGAATCTGTTCTGGATAGATTGGTTCATCTCTAGTTCCCTCTCATATGGGCTTCCAAAGTAGTTTGACACACATTACACAGGCATCCACTGTTCTCACCATCAGGAAATCTACCCTGAGAAATGCCATACAGCCAATGCTATAGACAGGAAATGGCTGAGAAGAGGGTGAAGGAGTAAAGTAATGCTGATATGCAAAAAAAAAAGGAAGATCAAGTATTTATGTTTACCACTTCAAGTTCAGACACTTTTACCCCCTTCCTGCTCAGGTCAATTTTCAGGTTTCAGTGCTCTCACACTTTGAACGACACTTGTGCGGTCATGCAACATTGTACCCATATGACATTTTTTAAATAATTTTTTCACACAAATAGAGCTTTTTTTTGGTGATATTTATTAGTCACTGGGTGTTTTATTTTTTTGTGGTATAAACAAAAAAAGAGCAAAACATTTGGAAAAAAAGTTTTTCTTTTGTTTCTATTATGAAATTTTGCAAACAGGTAATTTTTCTTCTTCACTGATGTCCATTGATGAGGCTGCACTGATGGGCATCACTGATCGGCACTGAGAAGGTGACACGGATAGGCAGCACTGCTGGGCACTGGTAGGCTGCACTGATGAGGTGGCACTAGTGGGCATTAATGAGGAGGCACTGATGATGCTGCACTGGTATGCAGCAATGATGGTCACTGATAGGTGGAACTGATGGGCACTGATAGGTGGCACTGATGGGCACTTACGAGCGGCGCTGACTGACGGCACTGACTGCCGACTGGCAGCACTGACTGATGGCACTGACTGGTGGCACTGTTGGGCGGCACTGATGGATGCAACTGCTGGGGGGGCACTGCTGGGGGGCACTGCTGGGGGGCACTGCTGGGTGGCACTGGAGCGCTCTGATCTTCAGGGCACTGATCGTCAGTGCCGATCTGCTCTGTGACAGCTGTCGGTTATCAGCAGCACTTTCCTCATGCTGTGACAGTGTAAGGAAAGTGATGCCGATAACTGGCAACTATATTTACTCTGTGATCTGCTGTGCCGATGGACACAGCTGCAGCTGACCACGTGATAAAAGGCCGCTGTGATTGGCCTTTTACTTTATCATGGAAATTGCCGGGTGCGTGCCCCTGGTGGCGCACGGGAGGGCGCGTTCTGAGAAGACCCTATATGGTGCTCTCCCAGAACTGGGTAACCGCTCTGTAGCCATCATTCAGGCCCATGCATTTATCTGAAGTTGGAATGTCTTTCTGCTGCTCAGCAGGTGGCTGGAGATAAAGACTGTTTTTCAACATCTTGTTTCAATGAGAATTGTATTGTTGCTCTGCATGCAGTTGTCCGTAGCAACTATGGTGGGCTGCCATATTCAAGTTGACTACAAGCGTCATCCAGTTGCCCAATCCTGGCAATACCAGTGGGGACTATATTGATCTCTATACCGTTGCCTTTATGTGGATTACAAATATTTCTGTCATCCAACAGCAGCTGGGGTCAAGGACTACTCTTTCATTAAACCTGCTAAAATCAAGAAGAAATGTGCTGTACTGTACTCCATTGCTCATAGCAACCACAGTTCAGTTTCACCATCATCACCCAGTTACCCAACAGTGGCTGGGGCTAATTGCTATACTTTTACAAGTACTATTTATGCCAGCAAACAGGAACAGTTCAAGTATTCCTGCAAAGAAACAACGCACTTTAAGCTTGCACAATCCTGTTTGACTGAGAAAGGGTTAACCCAAGCACGGAAACAGACCTTCAAAAAAGTGCTGCTGTCAACAAGTCTGAGTAAGGGGTGGGGCCACACCCTTGAGTCTGCCCAGCACAGGCAGTGTGGCGAGAGAGAGAGAGAGAGGAGCAAGGTGGAGGAGGGTGTATGGGCTTCCCCCAAGTTCTTGTTACCTGAAATGCAGGAGATGACTCTGGTGGACACCAGAGTGCGTTTGGAGCACCAAAGAAAGGTTTGCCCTTGGATTAATAGTGGAGAGGCTGGGTCTGATATGCCCTAGCTGCAGGAGTCCCACCACCATGGTCAATGTATGGTCAAGTGTGGACACTGTGGGGAACTGCCGATGAGGCTGACACCCATTACCTACAATGTGGATCTGTAGTCAGGCCTGTGAACGGAGAAGCCGATGAGAAAAAGTTCTGGAAGGCTGGAAAGTGTTGGGAAGTTTATACTGAAAGTGGTGTTCTGTTCATGGACTGAAAGCCCAGGATCCTTCATTTTTGTACAGAATTTAGGAAGTTTGTCCTCAAAGTATTGGTTTTAAGCCAAGTTGGACATCCCATATACCCCTAGACCAGTGATGGCGAACCCGTGGCACGCGTGCCACAGCCGGCACGCCGAGCCTTATCTGTGGGCACGCCAGGAGAATCCAGCGGCGCGCTGTCTTCCCGGCTGTAGTGTGCATGACAGCCGGGTCCCAAGTGCGCATGCACAAGAAGCAGTGCTCTTTGTGAATGGTAAGGCGGTACCTGGGACACATGACAGATCCCAGAAGCCGCCGGACCAATCACAAAGCGCAGCGCTTCTCGCGCTTGCGCACTGGGCATCCGGCTGTCCGACGAGCGCCCACACTACAGAAGCCGGGAAGACAGCGCGCGGCTGGATAAAGGAACAGGTAAGATAAAAAAAAAACTCTGCGGAAGTAAGAGCGGGTACCTGTCAAATTCAGGTACCCGCTCCCCCTCCCTCCCCAAAGGTCAGCAGTCATCTCTGTGCTGTCCGCAGTCTCTGGCCATCCCCTGTGCTGTGTCCGCAGTCTCTGGCCATCCCCTGTGCTGTGTCCGCAGTCTCTGGCCATCCCCTGTGCTGTGTCCGCAGTCTCTGGCCATCCCCTGTGCTGTGTCCGCAGTCTCTGGCCATCCCCTGTGCTGTGTCCGCAGTCTCTGGCCATCCCCTGTGCTGTGTCCGCAGTCTCTGGCCATCCCCTGTGCTGTGTCCGCAGTCTCTGGCCATCCCCTGTGCTGTGTCCGCAGTCTCTGGCCATCCCCTGTGCTGTGTCCGCAGTCTCTGGCCATCCCCTGTGCTGTGTCCGCAGTCTCTGGCCATCCCCTGTGCTGTGTCCGCAGTCTCTGGCCATCCCCTGTGCTGTGTCCGCAGTCTCTGGCCATCCCCTGTGCTGTGTCCGCAGTCTCTGGCCATCCCCTGTGCTGTGTCCGCAGTCTCTGGCCATCCCCTGTGCTGTGTCCGCAGTCTCTGGCCATCCCCTGTGCTGTGTCCGCAGTCTCTGGCCATCCCCTGTGCTGTGTCCGCAGTCTCTGGCCATCCCCTGTGCTGTGTCCGCAGTCTCTGGCCATCCCCTGTGCTGTGTCCGCAGTCTCTGGCCATCCCCTGTGCTGTGTCCGCAGTCTCTGGCCATCCCCTGTGCTGTGTCCGCAGTCTCTGGCCATCCCCTGTGCTGTGTCCGCAGTCTCTGGCCATCCCCTGTGCTGTGTCCGCAGTCTCTGGCCATCCCCTGTGCTGTGTCCGCAGTCTCTGGCCATCCCCTGTGCTGTGTCCGCAGTCTCTGGCCATCCCTGTACTGTTAATTAGTTTGCACTACTGTACGAGTTGTTTTTTCTAAACCAAAAGCTCGATATTCAGGTTTCATTGCAGTGTTGGCACTTTGAAAGAAATAAGTTGGTTTTGGGTTGCAGTTTGGGCACTCGGGCTCAAAAAGGTTCGCCATCACTGCCCTAGACCCTATCCAAGTTGTTTACCCCTAAATAAAACAACAAAAACAAGCTCCTAGACTGGTTACTGACTCTGAATGGAGGTTGAAAAATGCAAAGGGGTAGCACTACAAAGTCACATGACCAAACAACTTCACTATAGTCAAGAAAAGACCACTGATAAGAAAAGGGGACTGTAGTGTGTGAGTATTAAGGGATGTGCCCTGAAAGGGAACAAGAATTTAGCAACATTGTGTAATATAAATAAAAAGTCACAATTCTGTTATTTAAATAGCTTACTGATAAATGTATTAATTAGAAGATAGTAACTGAAGTGGTATTGGCAGAATCAGGCAATGGCATTTTTATTATTGGTCTACTGTAATGTCATGGGTGTGGGGGGGTCATTTGATAGTGTTCATTATATTAGCTAAGCAATTACTACATTCAATTTATTGCCATTGAAACTATACAGAGTGTAGCAAATGAAAGCTCTCCCATAATCACACATTTTCTTTATGGTGCTGGGCCAAAACAGAAATGGTAGGCCAAGAATCCTGGGTCTGACATCTGGATATGTTTAGCCTTAAATATGAATTTACATTAAACAAATATATATTTTTTTTCCGCAAAATGCATAGAATATATAAAATCCAGAAAAACAGCAAACAGTTGTTTTTTAATTATTTCTTCCACTTTCTCAAAATCATTTTCCAAACGTATTTGTGATGAGAGTGAATTAAATATATTGCAATTAAAGGCTATATGTATGAATGTTACCCAATTATATGAAACCAGATGTGGATACTTGCTCTTGAGGTCACACTGGCATCTCACAACCGTAAGAAAAATAACTATTCAGCAGCTAACTGCACAGAAGTTATTTTTACTTTCAGACTGAGGGTGGCCTACTGGCCTATATTTATGCTTGTACTAGACAGACTTGGTGAATATATTTTTGGATTAGGACTTGGTCTACTCTCGGATACAACAATCACTCTGCATATCTCCTCCTCTGCTCTACATTATTTTTATAATCTGATTATCTGTAAATAATATAACGCCAAGTACAGCCAAGGTTTAGGGCAGTGATGGCGAACCTTTTTGAGCCCGAGTGCCCAAACTGCAACCCAAAACCAACTTATTTCTTTCAAAGTGCCAACACTGCAATGAAACCTGAATATCGAGCTTTTGGTTTAGAAAAAACAACTCGTACAGTAGTGCAAACTAATTAACAGTACAGGGATGACCAGAGACTGCGGACACAGTACAGGGATGACCAGAGACTGCGGACACAGTACAGGGGGATGACCAGAGACTGCGGACACAGTACAGGGATGACCAGAGACTGCGGACACAGTACAGGAGATGACCAGAGACTGCGGACACAGTACAGGAGATGACCAGAGACTGCGGACAGTACAGGGATGACCAGAGACTGCGGACACAGTACAGGAGATGACCAGAGACTGCGGACAGTACAGGGATGACCAGAGACTGCGGACACAGTACAGGAGATGACCAGAGACTGCGGACACTTCCCGGCTTCTGTAGTCTTCCCGGCTTCTCGTCGGACAGCCGGATGCCCAGTGCGCATGCGCGAGAAAGCGCTGCGCTTTGTGATTGGTCCCGGCGGCTTCTGGGATCTGTCATGTGTCCCAGGTACCGCCTTACCATTCACAAAGAGCACTGCTTCTTGTGCATGCGCACTTGGGACCCGGCTGTCACGCACACTACAGCCGGGAAGACAGCGCGCCGCTGGATTCTCCTGGCGTGCCCACAGATAAGGCTCGGCGTGCCGGCTGTGGCACGCGTGCCACGCTTTCGCCATCACTGGTTTAGGGGGTTGATTTTCTAAAGGCAAACAGGTTGTTCACTTTGCAATGGAAATTGCAATTTACCGGGGAATGTGGTGAAATTTCAGTTTACAAATAATACCCAATCACATGCAAGGAAAAAAAAAATGTTTTCCTTGCTCATAACTGGATGATCAAAGTCTGTAGAGCATGTCCTCATTCACTAAGCTCTGGGGAAAAATTCCCTTGCAAAGTGCAACTTCACTTGCTAAGAGAACTGTCTATTTACCTTTAATAAATCAAACCACTGAGTAAACATGTAGCTGCTATCGACACTGTATTGTTTATCACTTTAGATTGCAGACATAATGAGAATAAACAGTTGTTTTAATGTAACCCTCACAGCAGCATATAGTATACCTTAAAGTGACACTATCCAATGCCCGTATTCTCCAAAAATAGTCCACTACTTCATGGCATGGTAATCTTTTTTTTATATGCAATTATTTCTTACTGATTTTTTCTGCCTCTTTGTAATGTCCTCTTTAAGTACCTAAATCTCTCCCTTTCCCTCTTAATTCCATTTGTTTAGAACAAACAGTAAACGTTGTGGTCAAATGCACTGCTCTATGTATACTACAAATCCCATATTTTATAGTCCATTGTGTTTTGACACGGTTATGTGATAGTTATGTTCTTTGGATTTTATTCTAGATGTGCATAGAGAGATCACACAAACACTTATAGGTATAAAATGTAATTAAGTAATGACAGATACAGATAACAAATGTAATAATACTGGAAAATGTAAGGGGGACAGTACTTAGCTATAGATGCCTTTTCACCAAGGAGTCCTTGCCCGCTTCTATTGCAGCTTGGCACAGATGATCAAAACTAGGCATGTACATTTAAGCTTTCCTGAGACAAAACTGCCTATTACAAGTTTTAGCTGTAGTATATACAGGACTAGTGAGTAGAATTTGGCCAATTACAAACTCTGAATAGCAGTATTACCTTTTAAGGTGATATCCCCTGGGTTTGGCCATCCTAATCAGTTTAAAATGATATTCCTATAGTGTGAACTCATCCAAGGTAACCAGGCTTAGAATTCATTCTTAGTGTTGGAATACATAGTTCATGTAATTTGTGCAACAACTACATCAACCAGTAGATGGTAGTGTTAATAAGTTTGTAGCTGATCTCTATGATTAAACTCTATGTCTGTTCTCTAAAAAAAAGTTCCCATTTCCTGTTTGCAGAGAAGCAGCAGATAAACACATGTGGATTGTTCACTGTCTATTCTGTAGGGCTATATAAAGAATCTCTAAGAGGTTATGGGCCCAGACACCCACCCAGACATCCAGTCATAGTCAGCTACACCAAATGATTGCAAGATACAGACAACAGAAAGGAGACTACAACAGAATAAAAGAAAATGGCCAGTAAGACAGCTGCAACAAAGCTTTCATTTGCAAACATGACAAACCAGAAATACCAGTCTTGGAAATTCAAGATGAAAATGCTGCTAATAAGGGAAGGTACGTGGAAATGTATAAATAAAGTCAGGCCGGAACACCATTCAGATGAGTGGATAGAGAAAGACCAGATAGCTCAGAGCACAATCTCTATTAGCATAGAAGATGATCAAATCATATATATACACTATATTGCCAAAAGTATTGGAACACCTGCCTTTACACGCACATGAACTTTAATGGCATCCCTGTCTTAGTCCGTGTGGTTCAATATTGAGTTGGCCCACCCTTTGCAGCTATAACAGCTTCAACTCTTCTGGGAAGGCTGTCCACAAGGTTTTGGAGTTTGTCTATGGGAAAGTTTGACTATTCTTCGAGAAGCGCATTTGTGAGGTCAGTCACTGATGTCGGATGAGAAGGCCTGGCCCACAATCTGCACTCTAATTCATCTCAAAGGTCTTCTGCTGGGCTGAGGTCAGGACTCTGTGCAGGTCAGTCAAGTTCCTCCACCCCAAACTTGCTCATCCATGTCTTTGTGCACTGATGCGCAGTCATGTTGGAACAGGAAGAGGCCATCCCCAAACTGTTCCCACAAAGTTGGGAGTATGAAATTGTCCAAAATGTCTTGGTATACTGACGCCTTAAGAGTTTCCTCACTAGAAATAAGAGGCCAAGCCCAACCCCTGCAAAAACAACCCAACATCATAATCCTCCCACCACCAAACGTTAGACTTGGCACAATGCAGTGAGGCAAATACCGTTTTCCTGGCAATCACCAAACCAAGACATGTGCATCAGATTGCCAGACAGAGAAGCATGATTTGCCACTCCAGAGAACATGTCTCCACTGCTCTAAAGTCCAGTGATGGTGTGCTTTACACCACTACATCCAGCGCTTTGCATTTCACTTGGTGATGTAAGGCTTGGATGCAGCTGCTCGGCTATGGAAACCCATTACCCCATTTCATGAAGCTCTCTACGCACTGTTGTGCTAATCTGAAGGCCACACCAAGTTTGGAGGTTTTATGCTATTGACTGTGCAGACAGTTGGTGACTTCTGTGCACTGTGACCTACCACTTTGTGGCTGAGTTGCTGTTGTTCCCAGTTGCTTCCACTTTGTTATAATACATCTAACAGATGACTGTGGAATATTTAGTAGCAAGGAAATTTCACGGATGGACTCATTGCACGGGTGGCAACCTATCCCAGTACCACGCTTGAATTCACTGAGCTACTGAGAGCGAACCATTTTTTCACAAATGTTTGTAGAAGCAGTCTGCATTCCTAGGTGCTTGATTTTATACACCTGTGGCCATGGAGGTGATTGGAACACCTGAATCCAAAGACTTGGAGAGTTGTCCCAATACTTTTGGCAATATAGTGTATATGTAAGAAATATGGGAAGGATTACAAAAGGTGCATAAAAAGCTAATCTCAAAAATAAAGCAGAAGACAAAGCACCTCTACGTGTAGACTGTATGATGGTTTATTAATTAAAAGTAAGTATAACAACTCACATCTTTTGTATGTTAAAAAAGGCTCATAGGGATAGGTACCATGTGTCAGTCGCCAGTTGTAAAGACCGCTCTGGAGAAGAGGGTCCCTGCTAGTAGGCAGAAAGTGCTGCAAGAGGTAAGGTATAGATGGTATAGCCTCACTGGGTCTCTAGTGAGTCTGGAGCTGGTGGCGTCGGACGTCTGACGTCGGGATGCAACGTGCTTCTGAGCATGCGTGGGAACCAGCGTAGACTGGCGTGCTCTTTCATCAGGCATAAGTGGAGCATAGGAACAGGAAAGGGGAAGGAGAGCCCTGAAATAGAGCAATGGGGGATGATGGACAGGGCCAGGTGTGGGGGGACAGAAAGGAGGGGCATGTGATAAGACAACAGAATGGTGTCTATCCAGGGGAATATAGTATAACCGATGGTAACAGATCACAAGTGGAAATTTAAAAATGCAAAATAATGATAATGGAAAAATAAATCAATAACAATAAAGGATCATCATGTGGCACAAAAATATAAATAGTAATAAGAATATTAAGAAGGAATCATAAAAGGTAAATTATATATATTTCTATATATGAGATAGTCTACTATAGACAGAAAACAAAAAAATAGATAGAAAACCAAAAAGGGGATAACCATACGTCTTGTTGGTGACAATATAAAAACAAGAGAACATACAGTATGGAGTGGACTAGGTTGACGGATGAACAATAATAGAAGCAAGGTGGGAAGGTGATGAAAATATGATGGACTATTATTAACAACAGGTGTAGAGTTACAATGATATATTGACAGATAAATAAACAATTTTTAAAAAATTTATATACATACAAAATATGCACGTGTCCATGTACATGAATAGATCTTTGGTACCAGTGTCATCAATCCCCACTTACATGTATAACTATGAAACCTGAGGATAGGTGCATGGGGTGTACTTTCCATCTGTCACGGTGAAAGGAAGCATAACCACCCGGGGGTATTGGGATGTGGATCACCCCAAGAAAATGGTGGTGGTGTTATGACTAGATAGTATTGAGAATGTTATTTTATAATGGTAACAATATCCAGCTCCTGAGCTGATAAAATCCTACAAACTCAAGCCAGACTGGCGTTTTGCTCAGAAGGAATACTCAGGCATGTGCTACAGGACCAGTTATGGGGGGGGGATACGTAGATTTGTGTAAGATTGTAAGCTGTTGTGCTGCACCGCAGGCTAGCCCATACCATACACCTATACACTGATTCTTGTTCTTTTAGGGTAATAACAGGTAAGGTGAGGCAGCTTTGTTGTGCCCGCCAGTAGGTAAATTACTACAGTTTCTACCTTTATCCATCAGAAGGCGCCATGCTGTGCAGCACAAGGGTCTCAGTCTTTGGGCTGAGTGTATGTAAATTTATTGTATATTCCAGCATTTTGTTTATTTGCCACATCTAAGTCAAATTCTGTTGTGACAAAAGCTGGTGTTGGGGTTGCTTTCCTCGTTCGTGACTTCACCGTATCCTGGTGAGCCCACCCCAGTACACGGCTTACAAAAGCTACAACGTTGAGTAGCAGTCATGTGGCCTACATAAAGGAGGCAACAGGGACACCTGAGACAGTAAATAATGAAACTGGATGAGCAGTTGTAAAATTCCATGAATTTATGATGTTTACCTTTATTCTGGAAGCCCTTTTGGCCGTGTTGGATAAAGGGGCACGTTTTGCACTGGACCTTCTGTCACTGATACATGCCAATAGTAGGGGTAGAAAATAAAGAGAGTGTTGTGTTGGACTGGACAAATTTTAATTTTGGGGGCTACTTTGTTTTTTAGATTAGGGGCTTTTCTGTATGTAATGATCGGTTTAGGGGGGATAATATCCTTCAGGTGGGGGTCTTCCAGAAGGATGTTCCAGT